AGGAGGAGGAGGAGGAGGAGGATGAGGAGGAGGAGGAGGAGGAGGAGGAGGAGGAGGAGGAGAGTCCTGGTCACTCTCGGGGCGTCCTGGGTGACTCCTCTGTGCCCTGCAGGGCCCCAGGACGGGCCAGGAGGTTCCCAGGAGAGAGATGCCTGCAGGATGGTCCGAGAGGGCCGTAAGAAGACGCAAGAGGCCCATGATGGCCCCAAGATGGCTCACAGAAGGCCCAAGAAGGGGAACTCTAAATTGCACATCGAGCCCTCCGCCCCGAGATTGCCCCCCGAGACCGCCAGCAGGCCGCTGAGAGGCCCCCGAGAAGCTCCAGGAGGCCCCCCGAAAGACCCCAACGTGCCCCCAAGAAGCCAGCGAGGGGCCCCAAGAAACCTCAGAACTGGAGGCCTGGAAATGGGCACCGACACCAACACAGGGGGTTGCCTCCACAGGGGGATGATGATCCTAGATCTCGGTGTTGGTGGTAATACTTCGGCCACCTTGGAAGCCAGAATGTTACCACCATCGCCGAGATCGGAATATCCTTCCCTCGGTGGAGGCACACCGCCGAAATTGGTGTTGGTGTCAACCTCCAGGCCTGCGAAAGAACCGCCTCCAGGAGGCTTCCGAAAGGGCATCCCCTGAGATCCCCACAGGCATCCGAGAGGCCTCCGACCTGCAACACGGGCGCGGTGACGAGGCGGGCCGACGGCCACTGGATCGCCGCCCCCCCTCTTTATCACAAGAGTCCTTGGGGTTCTGCACTATGAACTGTCTTCAACCTTCTATCAAGTCGGGCCTGTCCTCCTACAAGGGGATTCTGGACAAAAAACAAACAATAGTCCAACGATAACCCCGAATGGTCAAAGAATGCTCAAAAAATCGTCACCATGCGATTTTTTGACTATTTTTGAATATCCCTCCTGTAGAGTGACGGGCCCGATTAAAACCCTTCTAAAGGTTCCCGACTGCCGCCGGCCCAACCTGCCGGCCACCATCCCGTCGGCCTTTTCCGCCCAAGATGGCCTTACGATGGCATCTCCAAGGCGGCTGAGGTGGTCCAAGATGGCCTACAAGACGGTCAAGATGGCTCAAGATGGCCTCCAAGACGTCCCCAAGACAGCCAAGGCGGCCCCGAGTCGGCCCAAGATGCCGACGGCCCAAGAGGCCCCCAAGACGCCCCAGGAGGGTTACAAGAGGACCTCCACGAGGCCAACATCATTGATTCCCTCGTGACTTCTCGTGGTATTAGCGTTTTCTTCGCCTCTTCGGGCTGCCGACGCTCCAGGACGGCCCCCATAAGCCCCCACGGCTGCTCCAAGAAGGCCCCCAGGAGGGCCCCCCACGAGGTCGGCAGGACAGCCCGAGAGGGCCCCAACGGCCCCACAGACTTCCAAGACTGGCGGTGGGTTGGTGCGGGGCCCAAGAGCGAGCTGATGGGTGATGTGACTACATTTTCAGCTTGGGCTTCTTGGCGATACGATGTGCTACTTCAATGCAGAGAGGACACCGTGGGACATCGGCTACAGCATATGTTTTCCGCCTTCGCTTTTATGACGCTGTAATGTTTCGGCCCAGGCTTCGACAATAGGCTCTAGCTTTCGCGGCGCCCTGACAACACATCTCAGGACACCATGGGAAAGACTGCGGGATGCCACGTCTCACATCCTGGGATACCCCCTGGGGCAGGATGAGAGGACCCCTCGGTCTGACCACCCGCCAGGAGCAAGAGGAGCTGGAACGGCTGGATGTTCCGCCGGAAAACAGGGCGGCCATGGATCTCTGCGCCAGAGCTCCGCACGCACACGCCACGAGCGAAACGAAACGCGAGGCTGCGATCTCATGGTCGGGGCGGCATCGCAGAGGCTCTCGCACCGCTGACCTCAAAATTTGACCTGCCTACAAGGGCTGGGGCTTCAAGCCCGCCGTGAGACAGCAGGGATGCCATGATCGGTGTCCTGGGCCAGATGGCAGAGCAGAGGTGTCGGCCGTGAGCTCCGCAAGGACCGCGAGGCTTCCGCCCACCCGCAGTCGAGGTCAGACGATCGCATACCTGCCCGGGTGCCGGAGGCACGGGCCCACATCTCCCCCCCGAGTTCTAGATTGGCACGGCCTTTCGGCCGATCGGGACTAGCGCAGCGTCGCGTAGCTCTGGAAGTGCGCAAGGGGGAAGCGAATTGCGAGAACGCCGCAGGACCGCGGGCAAGGCCGGCACTGTCAGGCCCTGAGGGCGGGTCCTGGTCCTCGCTGGCGCGGAAAGAGAAGCTTGGAGGAGGAGGAGGAGGAGGAGGAGGAGGAGGAGGAGGAGGAGCGAGGAGGAGGAGGAGGAGGAGGAGGAGTAGGAGGAGGAGGAGGAGGAGGAGGAGGAGGAGGAGGAGGGACGCGGGACGCGGACACCGACGCCGTCGGTGCGGGCGGCGGGCCGCGTGCGGCCCACGGCCCAGCTCGGGCCTTGTACCCGTCAACGGCCACGAACGAGTTGACGACGAAGTGTAGGCGCAGGATCACCCCGCAGGGCTCTGTTTCACACCCAGCCCCAAGCAAGCATCAGAAAGACCACGCCGATGAACATGTAGAGGCCTTGGCGTCAATGATGTCTGTCGGCGCATCGGCCCTTCTGCCGACCGAAATCGATTCATCATCTTCATGTCGCAAGCGTCGCCAGCGCGAGCATACATTGCCAAGGCCAACCAAGCTCCAGACGGCCTGCATACGCGGGGTGGCTCTGCAGGTTTATTTCGCCATGAAACACCACTTTGCGCCACCCGCACTCCAATCACACACTCCGTGGAACAGCGCGTCGGTCGACACGTACCAAGGGAGCCTCAGGCAATCCCGAGATTGCGTGCTGACGCCTAGGCGACATGAACCAAATAGCCGCGATGGCACACCTGGATTTGCGTTCTGACGGCAAGGCGACGTGAACCAGGTAACCGCAATGCACATTTGGATTTGCGTTCTAACGCCACCATGCCGCCAACGGGGTTGGTCCAGCACTCCATTCCAAGTACTGGTCTTCAACATCTTCACCAGTTAGTACTTTGCACTCTGGGATGCACGTAGGCGAGAGGTTGCACGTCTCGATCAAGTTCTTGCCTAGATTCCTCGCTGGCCTGGACTCGCTCGAGTAGCACAAAATTCGCAATGCCATCTCATGTCCTTCTCTTTGTACAGCATGGGGTGAGTGCGGTGCGCAAGCTGGAGAAGGAAGAGGAGGAGGAGGAAGACCCCAAGCCAGCGCAGTCGGGAGGAGGAGGAGGAGGAGGAGGAGGAGGAGGAAAAGGATGATGATGATGATGCTGATGATGATGATGATGATGATGATGATGATGGTGATGGTGATGATGATGATGATGATGATGCTGATGATGATGATGAGGAGGAGGAGGAGGAGGAAGAGGAGGAGGAGGAGGAGGAAACGGAGGAGGAGGAAAGGAGGAGGAGGAGGAGGAGGAGGAAGGATACCCCAAGCAGACGCAATCGGACGGAGGAGAAGGAGAAGGAGGAGGAGGAGGAGGAGGAGGAGGAGGAGGAGGAAGAGGAGGAACATGAGGAGGAGAAAACGGAGGAGGAGGAGGAGGAGGAAAAGGAGGAGGAGAAAACGGAGGAGGAGGAGGAAACGGAGGAGGAGGAGAAGGAGGAGGAGGAAACGGAGGAGCAGAAGGGGGGCCTGGAGCCAGCACCAGGGCGTACCAGAGCGGCAGCAGCAGGAGGAGGCCGACGGTCGTCATCAACCAAAGGTGCCACCGCTCCTTCCACGCCTGTGCGGAGGCAGCCTCCCCGCCCCCACCCCCGTTCACAAAGGCTACCCGCTTGCCTTGGGTCGCGTGTAGCCTGTGTGACCTCTGGTGTGCGGCTCTAACCGGCGGCGCGGGGTGGCCACGCCCAAGCGCGCGCAAGCCGATGCTGTCGCATCGCACTCGGCGGTCGGAGGATGCCAGTGGGCCCGCACCAGAGGTCACTCCGGCGAAGGGTCACTCTTATGTGCCGTCGACACTAGCACAGGGGTCTCCTAGATGGGGTCCGCGTAGATGGGGTCGGAGGATTGCACCGCATCTCCGACGTAACGCCGACGCATCGGCGACGCATCGGCGACGTCGGCGGTGCAGCAGTGACGGTGATGTGCAGTGTGCAGGAAATCGGGCTCTACCTCAAGCCGCATCGCCGATGCATCGGCGACGCGGCGCGTTCCCTCGACCCCATCTAGTCGGACCCCATCTGGGAGGCCTAGATAGCAGCAAGAGGCTGTGCAGGGTCGAGCAAGAGCCGATCATCAATTTCCAGCTAGCAGGTGGAGAAGTATTGCCCTCCAGGACAAGGGCAGCCGACGCGCAGCCCAAATCCGTCTCCTCCTTCTCCCCTGGCTCGGCGGCGTCCGAGGCCCCGGCCGTTCGAGTAGGTGGTGCGACAAACTCACTGTGCGACCAGGCGACACAGGCGGCTTCGACTGGCACGACCTGGCCAACAGGGCGCTCTCCACCGCACGGCGGCATACTGTAGTCGCTTGGGAATGGTGAAAGACTACGTGTCGGAATGACGGGCACTCCACTCATGCGAGCAAATTTCAAATCGCAGACTGATCGGCAATTTCGGGGCCAACATCACATGAATCCGTGCATTCCTTCCCTGTTCTGGCCCACGGGGGGGGGAGACTGGCAGGGCCGGCCATGTGGTTTGGGGTTGGGGCTCGTTGGGGCCTGGGGGTGGTGTTCCTCGCGGCTGCATTGGTACCTCATCAACAACTGGCTTATAAGAGGCTTGCAACCTTGACATCGGTACCGCTATCGCGAATATTGTAAATGTTGGCTCAAGGCTAGCATTATTTAGTGTCACAGCTGTGGAAACACTCGTCAGTCAGGTCGAGACCACCCAATCTCTTAGATGATTCATCAGGCGCCCAAGTCGGCCCAAGAGGGCGCCAAGACGGCCCAAGAGGCCCCCAAGACAGCCCAAGAGGGCCCCAAGACGGCCCCAAGAGGTGCCCAAGAGGGGGAGCCCGAACCGACAATCCGAGCCTTCCGCCCCAAGACGGCCCCAGACGGCCCCAAGAGGCCCCCAAGACGCCCACAAGAGGCCCCAAGAGGCCCCCAAGAGGCTCCAAAACGGCCTCACAACGGCCCCAAAGAGGCTTCGAAACTGCCTCCAAGAGTCCCGCGAGAAGCCCCCCAAGAGATCCCAACGATCACCGCACAAGTCTCATATCAACAACCCCGGCACGGTGGCGGGGTTGCGTTTGCGCACAAAAAAGGATTCGCGCTCTCGAGGCCAAGATTGCTCCAAAACGGCCCAGGATGGCTCCTAAACGGCCCAAGATGGCTCCAAGACGGCCCACGACAGTTCGAAGACGGCCCAAGATGGCATCAAGATGGCCTAAAAGGCTTTCACTATCGCCCACGAAGTCTCCAAGAAGACCCCCAGGACATCTGAAAGAGGCGCACATTACGCATTTCATTACATTTCCATTGCGTTATTGAACATGTTTGCAATTGTTGCCTTTCCCGGCTTCCGTCGGCTCACGTAGCCAAACTGCCTCCAAGAGTCCCGCGAGAAGCCCCCCAAGAGATCCCAACGATCACCGCACAAGTCTCATATCAACAACCCCGGCACGGTGGCGGGGTTGCGTTTGCGCACAAAAAGGATTCGCGCTCTCGAGCCCCAAGAGAGGTCATTATGGACCCCTACACGACTCCCCAGCCCGATTCAAGCGAGCCGGCAAGACCGCCAAGATGAGGGGTCGGCGGATGTGGCGTAAGCCTATAGAATCTCTTAGATGATTCATCAGAGACCCTGTGTTTAAGACATCTGGCCCTCTGTCGGGCTATCAGAACTGGGGCAACGTTTTGAGGCCCAACGGCAAGAGAAGTAGCATTAAGACTGAAGCAATGATGCCTGTCATGCCAACCTCGAATTGTCTATGGCGACTCAACCAAATATGGAATCCTTTATGGCTATGAGGGAAGATGATCCCAGGATGATCCAGCTCACCAGGGTCATAATCCTTCTCCCAGCATGTGCCGAAAAAACAAAGCAGCGGAACCTGATACTCGCATTCAGTGATATGCATGCTGCTACCATTAGGTCGGGCGTGTCCTCCTACAGGGGGATTTTGGAATCAAAAATAAAACGTACCCCCGAACAACTCAAACATGCTCAAAAGATCATGCCCGTACTATTTTTGATTATTTTTGGATATTCCTCCTGCAGAGGGACAGATCCGACTTAATGCTACCATGATGGAAACACGCCTCGTGCAACCACCACCAAGTTCATTGGACAACTGCCTGCCCACACGGCCTGGTGGCAGGACGCCTCCCGCCCCGTTCCCGACGTGTGCGCTTGCTGGGCGCTCATCTCCTTGCCTTCCCCTTGCCTGCGGGCTGCTGTGTAGATAACTTTTTCGGTCTTGTGCCATCTGGTCGCACCCTCAGCGGCACACCGTGAATGTACGGAGAGTTTCTGTTCACGCAATCGCCGCTGCTCGTGTTTTGCAGTGACAAGTTGCGGGTGGGTGGGTGGAATGGTTGCGCGAGCAATGGAGTTGGCGAGTTCCGCATTTTAATTGCACCGCGTAGACTGCATCACATCGATTGCACCACATAGGTTGCACAACAAATTGCGTCATCTATAGGGAAATGAGTTGCGTCACCAGTATTTCAAAGCGCAGGTTTTACCACACACATTCCACTACAAAGGTTGCACCGCATACATTGGACAACAAATCTAGCACAGCCTAGATGGTAGAGCATATACTGCACCTCATAGGTTTCCCCCAAGAATGCTCCACGCATATTTTACCACATCGATTGCACCTCCGATCTCGCACCACATACATTGCATCGCATATATTGTGCCACAGTTATGTTGCCACATATATATGTACACACGTGCATAGTCATGTATCAACAGACACACATATATACACATCTATTTATAGCTATCTACGTACTGGATCTCGCACCATATCGGTTCCGCACCAACGGTCGTACCATATACTGCACCACTTAGATTGTATACCATACCCTGCGTGGCACAACTTGCACACAGCAGGTTTCACAACATATGTTGCACACCATCTATTGCACACCATGGATTCCACACCATAGATTGCACAACAGTGGTTGTACACACACACACACAACAACTTGCACACCATGTGTTGCCCCACATAGATTGTACCACATCTAGTGCACATCATCGATTGCATCACATAGGTTGCGCCACATGGATTCCACAGCATATGTTGCACCACATATGTATACATACATTGCTTCCCTTATACTGCACATTATTACAGATTGTACCACACAGTTGCACTACATGGGTTGCACCACATACATTGCGCAACATACACTGCACCACATATACAGCACTACATACATTCCACCCCATAGATGCGTCCCATCTACTGTGCCATGTAGGTTGCACCACTCAGGTTGCACCAAATAGCTTGAAGCAAATACCTCGCATCACTAATATTGCTCCGCCCATGCGCAATTTAAACTGTACCGCGTAGATTGCACTACATAGATTGCACCACATTTATTGCGCAACCTAGTCTGCACACCAGATATAGCACACAACATATTGCACAACCTAGGTTGCACAATATATATATTGCACACAACAGATAGCACAGCATATCTTGCAACCGCTAGATTGCACTGTATAGATTGCACAACATAGATTGCACCACCTATATTGCCATGCGCACATTGTTTGGAGTCCACGCTGGCTTATACGATATTGGTCAGGAGGTTTCCGATGATGATGTGGTTGATGTTGATACTGATATAATGAAGACGATGATGATGCTGATGCTGATGCTGATGCTAATGCTGATGCTGATGATGATGATGATGATTGTGAGGATGATGATGGGCGAAACATCATACCCAAACGACTCCAGCAACTGCCGGCGGGGCCTTGCGCATGCACTCTACCGAGGGCCGGAGCATGTAGTTCAGGCAGATGTTGGCACGCTCCTCCGCACGGGTTTTGCATCATCCGCCGCCGCCACCGTCCTGCCATCTTTCCAGGATATCCTGCTTCTCGCCTTCCTCGTCCTTCTCCAACTGATCTCGATACCTCCTCATTCTCCTCGGATTTTCCCTTTTCTTCCTTGGCCTCCTCCTCCGCCTCCTCTTCGTTTCGTGCACCCCCGCTCTGGCGTTTCTCTTGGAGGCATCGCCCAGCGAGGATATTCCAAAATACTGAGTGTAGAAATGGTGAAGGCGTGGTCGACACAGTGAATGCGTTGGCGATGATGGCCACGCCAGAGTCCGACGAGGAATTCGGACGTCGTGCTCAACAAGCATGCTGGACGTGCCGCAGCGGGTCGGCGAGCGGGCCGATCATCTGAGCCCCTACTGCTGCTGCTGCTGCTGCTGCTGCTGCTGCTGCTGCTGCTGCTGCTGCTGCTGCTGCTGCTCTCTCGTCGTCTTCCCGATCTTGGTCCATCTCCGCGCTCTCCTCTGAGGGGCAGCGCTGGGTTCGAATGGGCTGCTCCGGCAGGAAGCCTCGAGCTTGGCATCGGGGATGCAAGCCGCCGACAGGTCGGCGGCAGGCCCCCGATGGCACGCCCGCGTGGTCCTGGACGGGGGCGGGCCGTCGGGCTGCCATCGGCGATGGATGTGCGATTGGGGGTCGATGTTTTTTTTTTTTTTTTTTTTTTTTTTTTTTTTTCCCCCCCCCGATTGGGGGTCGATGTGTGCCCGCCGGGGCCAGGGCCCAACGCCCCTGACATCAGGTCGGGCCTGTCCCTCCACAGGAGGAGTACTCAAACATGGTCAACACAACTAGTCCGGGGACGATGTCTTGACTGGTGCTGGGCGTTTTGGGGGCATTTGTTCGATCATCTTTTTATGGTTCGTCCAACATCCCCCTGGAGGGGGACGTGCCCGACCTGACCCTAACGTTGCCCCTGACCCTTCGCCCACGCACAGCCAAGAGAAACCGTGAGGCCACTGCCGACTACCAGCAGGCCCAGAGCGCGGACCCCGAGCTGCGGGCTGCTCTGGCGATGCGCGGTGCACCTCGCGTGGCACAATCTGCTGGAGTCGTTCCATCGGGGGCGGCCGAGGAAGGGGGGCGTCCATGAGGGGGTGGCACAAATCATGGCCGGCGGCATGTGCGCGGCCCAGGGGGGGTGGGGGCCAGGGACGTAATGAAATAAGCAGAGGCGCCATGAAATCTGGGGACATATCATGGCCGACGCCATGATCTCCCACCCCCCCTAACCATCACCCCCCTCTTGGCCGCCCCCGATTCTACTCTCGAGTATTCGTTACAAGGACCGCGGGGTGGCGAGCGCGTCGTGTGCACCTTCTGGGCCCGCGGCGGCCATTCAAGCTCCGCCCGGGGCACCTTTATAGACCGCGCTTCCGCAATCCTCGATTTCCCCTACGGTTTCTTGCCCTCGCGTTGCCATCCGCCCAGTCCACTCGGTGCAGTCTTTCCATTATACGGGGCAACCTCCAGGCTGGGGACGGAATCTGACCAAGGACGTCGGCGGCAGCGCCTTGTGTGCGCCTAACCAGGGACGGTCGGGGACAGTGCTGGACGAGAGGAACTGATGGCGGGCAACGCACAATGATCACCGGATAGAGCCAGGGGCAGGCAGGGGCAGGCCCGAACCCAGACCCCCGACGTCATGTTTTTTTCATAGCGTCGAGCCCCAAAGGGTCTCGACCCATTCTCCGGACCAGTTTTTCATCCTGAGTCGCTTTTTGACGGTGCCGAGGCCCGGTCAGGGCCCCTAGGGGCAGAAAATAGCGGATAACCTTCTGTCGTGATTTTTCCCTGCCTAGGCTCTACCTAGAAGGGTTCTTACTCTGTTGGCTTAAAGGGGCCGGGCAGTGCTAACCGCCCCGGGCGGTTCCCCCGGTCCCCTGGGAGCCAAGCAAAAGCAACAGCAAAGGTAAAAGCAAACGCGCGGTTCCCCCAGTTGAGCTCCCTGGGTGCCAAGCAACAGCAAAAGCAAAGGCAAAACTGAATGCAAAAGCGAAGGCAAAGCAAAAACATAGCATAGCATAGCAAAGCATAGCATAGCATAGCGCAGCATAGCATAGCACAGCA